TGTAAAATATTTTCGAAAACCCTATAAAAACCCTGACCCTCAACTCCTCGGGGCTGCTCTGTTCTCATATGTTCAGAGAGCCCCAGCATGCTGGAAAAATAATAAACCCTTTGCTAATTGCATGAGAAAGTCTCTTGGAGTCGTTCCTTGGGCAACGGATGCGTTTTGACCTTAACACCGGCTGTTGCAGCAATCTGGGGAGTGAGCCAGTGGATGGAAGACCTCTCTCTCTCTCTCTCTACCTCTCTCTGTAACTGTCTTTCAAATAAATAAAATAAATCTTTTTTTAAAAAAAGAGAAAGAAAATGACCCTTTGGAGAATAAGGCTGTCAATTTAAGTGCTGTTAGAGGGTGACACCTTCATAAGACAAGGCATCAGATTTAAAGACATGTAAGGGGTCAAGGGTCGTTATCACAGGCCTTGTGAACCATGAGTGTCTTGAAGTTTGCTCAGTTTTCTGGGGCTAGAAATAAAATCCACCAGAGTCCTTCATGGTGTGGTACAGAATCTACTGTTTTTGCAGCTGCCTATCCTGTCTGGATTTCGTGCCTTTTTTTTTTTTTTTTTTTTTTTTTTTACAGGCAGAGTTAGACAGTGCGAGAGAGAGAGAGAGAGAGAGAGAGAGAGAAAGGTCTTCCTTTTTCCTTTGGTTCACCTCCCAAATGGCCGCTAAGGCCGGCGCTGCGCTGATCCGAAGCCAGGAGCCAGGTACTTCTCCTGGTCTCCCATGCGGGTACAGGGCCCAAGCACCTGGGCCATCCTCCACTGCACTCCCGGGCCACAGCAGAGAGCTGGCCTGGAAGAGGAGCAACCGGGACAGAATCTGGCACCCCGACCGGGACTAGAACCCGGGGTGCCGGTGCCGCAGGTAGAGGATTTAGCCTAGTGAGCTGCGGTGCCAGCTGGATTTTTGTCCTTTTCTCTTTCAGATTTCTTTCTCCACCAGGATGAAGGGTCCACAGATTCAGTGCCAGGTGCTGGGATTGCCTGAGTAATCATGGAGGGAGAAAAGGCAGGTCTACTGGGATCTACTCTATGGCTCAAAAAAAGGACAGAGGGGGATTATTCATTCGCAAATGGAACAAGGGACGTTGGGAGAACTCCAGTACTAACGGGCAAAGATCGTCAAGGCCTCTTGGGAAGCAGAAAGTGCAACATCAGTGTTTAAGACAGAGATACACAGGAAATGCGAAGAAAAGGCGATGAGTAAGAGACCACAAGATGTCAACAGCAGTTCCCTCTGGGAAGGGAGTGGCACCTACCCTGTGTTGCACGGGTCTTTATGAGACCGTGATTGTGTAAAATTGTACAAGCCCATTAGGAAGTAAATACATAGACCAACTTAGAAGTCCAAGGGAAAGAGAGAGTGAAACATTACCTGACCTGTTGGGGAATTTTGTAGAGCGGTGGTGGAGTTCTTCTGAAGCTCTGGGGACACAGAGAACTGAGCAGACAGGAGAGGAACAACAGGAGGGCAAGTGCAAGGAGAGACAGGAGGTAAAGGAGAGAGGGAGGAGGAGGGTGGACAAGGGCTCGCCTGGGATTCAAACATCAGTTCAGAGCTGGTATGTGATCTTTATGAATGACTGGGCCCAAGAAAGGAGGATGAGGGAATGTAAACCCTGAAAATCGAGTTTGAAAGTCTGATCCCATTCCGTGGGAAGCAGGAGGGGAGATGGAAAGGAACCCAAGAGTGTTCACCCTGTGGGTTTCATTGCAGTGATTCAGTCAGTGATGTCTCGAGAGACAAGGATACCAATGTTGATTCTGTTTTAAATACACGCCGTGGCACATAGCAGACAAATCCCTGGCAGTGGCATGCAGATTGGGCATTCAGGGAGCTGAAGAGGGAAGACTTGGCTGGCTTCTCTTTTTTTCTTTTTTACAGATTTATTTATTTATTTGAAAGTCTGAGTTACATAGAGAGAGAGGTCTTCCATCCGATGGTTTATTCCCCAATTGGTTGCAATGGCCGGAGCTGTGCCAATTCGAAGCCAGGAGCTAGGAGCTTCTTCCAGGTCTCCCATGTGGATGCAGGGACCCAAGGACCTGGGCCATCTTCTACTGCTTTCCCAGGCCATAGCAGAGAGCTGGATTGGAAGTGGAGCAGCCAGGTCTTGAACTGGCCCCCATATGGGATGCCGGTGCTACAGGCCAGGGCATTAACCCACAGCGCCGGCCCCGACTTGGCTGGCTTTTCAAGTCTTAGAGCACAGTGTGATTTTTTGGGAAACTGGCTATTCATCTTGACATGGGCCGTCCTGACTAAAGTGACCTTGCAACTAGATGTGACAGGCCCAGCTTGGACTGGTTTGGGGACGAACAGGGATAGTTGACAACTCTAGACCAGCGGTGGGGAATCACTTTTCTGCCCAGGGCCATTTGGCTATTTATAACATCAGTTGTGGGTCAAACAACATTACCGACTTAAAACTTGGCCTGCTGTGCTTGGCCAGACATTTCATTAACTCGTCCTGTGGTGGCTGGAACTGCTCCTCTCGGGTGAGGAATGTGACTGTTAGCCGGCATGGATGATGTTGGGACACACAACTGTGCCTCCGGTTTGTATCATCAGTCAGGAGCACAGGGCACTGTTTGCCGTGGAAAGTTTGGACGAGACCTGCTCACAGCAGTAGGCTGTTCTGAGCAGAGCTGCATATACCCAGGGCACCTACACCGTCTCATCTCATCCTCACCGGATCGCCATAGTCTCGCCATGGTGCACTAACACTTTGCAATGTGTACACTCACTCCTGGCGTCATGTGTTCTGAGTCACCACAAAACAGGTGATGGGCCGCAGGCAGCCAGTGAGAAGCGTTATGTGTCTGTCTTACCATATTTTCTTATGTGTCCTGTTAGTCCTGTAAGAGCTGTTCCTTGCTTACCTCTCAAAATGTACTGTGTTATTATGAGTGACAATATAAATTTTAGGTTGTTATGATAAAAGCTCCTAGAGTTACTACATTTTGAGTCTCACCTCTGGTTGCCTTGGCAGGGCCAAACCAAATGATTTCAAGGGCCAGGTGTTCTTCACCTGGCATCATCCACACCCCAGAAACCCCCTAACATGGAGCATTGTCCTGCAAACAGGTGTACTAGGTGCAGATACACACAGCCTGGAGACAACAGCAGAGTAGCAGCTGCCACAAAGGTGGGCTAGAGCCTTTGGTGTTTCCTTCTATTATTATTTCCTGTAACCCTCCCAGCAAGACGAGTGTCTCTGTTGGTTATGAAATTTAAGCTGTAATCCCAACAAGAAATGTAACTCTGTTGTGCCACACCTGCACTGGGTAGGGTGGCTTGGGCTGCGGAAACAGAAGGGCCAAACATGCCATGAGTCAACATCACAGTGTATGTTCTGGGTGGAAGAGGGGTTGTTCCTAGACTGATGGAGGAACCCAGACTGACTGATGGGGACACCATGGCCTTTAAAATCACCCAGGGGTACATGTGTGCATTGGCCAGAGGAGGAAGAGTTTGGAAGAATGCCCACGGGGGATGTTTACAGGACAGATTGGTTTGTGGTCGACGTCACTTCCGCTCACGATCCGTAAGACTAAAGACAACACTTTGGCCACATGGGGGAACATAGCAAGCGCGACTTCGCAGTGCTCCCAGCGAGGAAAGGTAATGGGTTTTTGGAGGGAAGAATTGATAGCCTGTTTCATAGCAACCGACTTAATTGCAATTTTTAATCCCCATTTTTCTGTAGTGGGGAAAACTTAGTTTTGCTAACTCGAGGGCTTCTGGGTCTGAATTTGGGGTTGGCCAAGAAGCTAGGGCACCAAAAGCAGCCCCCTTTGTTCACGGTGTCAATGGGCATTCCTGTTGTAGTCATCCTGGACACCTCCAGTGTTAACCACTAGTCCGCCTCTGATAGTTATCTCTTGCCCTGCCACCTGGCATCTGAGGACTCTGCTTGCCCCTCTCCAAAGCTGGGACATGGGAAATCCTGCTTGGCTGGCCGTAGCCATATCCCCCTAGACTTCCGCACTGTATAGTATATCTTCTTTGAAATCTCATGTCCTCTCCAGGCTGTATCTATGGAATGGAGGGAACACCTTGGGTCGCTGACAACAAACTTCCCGAGATAAAGGTTGCAGGGGCCTGATATACTGGCATCTGGTCTCTCCCTACATCCGCTTTCATGAACAGGAGACAATGTACTGGTTGTGATTGCCAAACAGGTGGTTCTCATCAGCTGTTCTGCCAAACCGCTTTTCATTTCTTAAGCTCTTTCCATTCTGCCCCTAAAATTTTAGCTTTTGAGTTTTTTTTTTAAAGAGGGAAATATGGCAGCTCTTTAAAAGTATTTTTAATTAAAGATTGTTTATTTGAAAGGCAGAGTTTCTGAGACATAGGGAGAGACAGATCTTCCATCTGCTGGTTCACTTACCAGATGGCTGCAAAGACTGGGGCTGGGTCAGACCAAAGCCAGGAGCCTGGAACTCCCACATGGGTACAGAGGTCCAAGGACTCGGGCCATCTTCTGATGCTCTCCCAGGTACATTAGCAGGGAGCTGGATAGGAAGCCAAGCAGCTGGGACTCAAACCAGCCCCCGTATGGGATGTCAGGGTCACAGGCAGTTGCTTAACCCGCTGTACCACAATGCCAGCCCTGGCTTTTGGATCTTAGCAACTGGAAGAGGGTTTTGTTTTCTTATCCTGCTTGGAGACATAAGAAGCATAGCATCCTATGTTGAATGGGAAAACCCTTGGAGAATGAACAATGATTCAGATTTCTAAATGTCATCCCATGTTGGAAAGGATCGTGCCTGCTCTACAAAGAATTTAGGCTCTAGAGAAGTATCTTGTTCAAGGATGGACAGTTTTTTAAGTGTCAGAGGTGAGAAGTAAACCCACTTCAGCCTGATTTCCATGTCTATAGGGGTCACAATTAGGATATTCTGTAATCACATGGCCTAGAAAACACATAGCCTCAGTGACACACAGGTGTCCATCCAGAACACACAGGCGCGCACACACAGGAAACCAGAATACTTCCTCCAGTTTTATTCATTTAAATAAACATTTGAAAGATCAGCCCAGTGTTAAGCAAGTAAGGGGATCTAGTACATGGTGTACAGATCCCTCAGGTGAATGAAAACAGCTCTGGAGGGCGAGCGAGCGGAAGTAGTGAGTACAGGCAGGTGATCTGGTGTTCCTGGGCTGTGGGTCACTTGGATGTTAAGTTCCTCGGTTGGTAGGTTTCTTGATTAGGGAATATCTTAGAGCTGTTGAGTTTTTTGCGTGCAGCTGACTTGTCTGGTCCGTGTTTTGATGGGTGGATCTTTGGGGGAGTTGATCCCTGGGATGGTAGGCCTGGTCTTCACATATATAGGACACATCCATAAATTATGCCTAAACCAATGAGTATGCCAAAAACACTCAGCCAGCCGGTTCGACCTGAGTTTAAGTAAGCCTCTTCCCATTTGCTCTCCCTGTTGGCCTGTGTGGTCTGTAGGGATGGAAGCGCAGTTGTGGGGTTGTGAGTGCAGACACCATTGGGAAAGGGTTGGAAGACTGTAATCACCGGGGAAAAACCCCTCCCCAAGTCCCAGGGTAGGCAAGGGTGCAAGGGGCAAGAGAGGTCAGGCTGGGCGGTAACGGGCATTGTTTTACCTTATGGCTGAAGTAGCAAGCTGCCAGTCCCAAAGGGAAAAAAAGAAGTACAGCAAAGATAGACATGCATAGGTAATTTGGAGCATAAAATGCCAGTTCTTCTTTTGTCTGGCTAGGTTGTTTTTTCTCAGCTGCAGCAGGTGGGGCACCTGGCGCAGGCTGGTCACCTGGAGCAGGTGGGGCACCTGGCGCAGGCTGGTCAGCTGGGGCAGGTTGGGCACCTGGCGCAGGCTGGTCAGCTGGGGCAGCTGGCGCAGCTGGGTCACCTGGCGGGGCAGCTGTTGATGGCTTGGGAGGCATGACCTTTCCAAAGATAGACCTTGGAGTGTGTTGGAAACAGAGCCCCAGACCTCCACGCCAGCCCTGGAATCCCAAGCCCTAGACTGGCAAAGGGTGATCCTTCACAATGGAGAAACCAGCACCTCAAGTCCTGATTGGCTGCCCTCATAAAAGGGCGTGGCCCCATTGTTCTCAGCTACTCCAGGCCTCGGAGGCCCCTCTGCCCAGGACGTTGACGTCACCCACCCTGGTAGGGATTGGCTGGAAGTGGCAAGTGTTGAACCTTGGCTCTTCCTCCTTCCTGGACACCCCAATCTGTAGACAAGAACGTGGGCAGTGGCAGGAGGGCCGCCCAAGAGCTGTGGGGCAGAGGAAATAGATGAGGCCAGTGAGAGCTAGCAGAAGAAAGGAAAATGAATCATGCCAGTAATGGATGAGATAAAGCATTAAGTTAAGAAAAGATTTAGTCCATACTGACAGAAAGAAGGAAAGAAAGGGGGAAAACAGGGAAGGCCTTTCTCAAAGTAGAATACCACTACTCAACGCAGATGGGCAATGGAATGGGGAGCTGCCACCGAGGTGGCACAAGTCGGCCATGGCCTCAAGATTCCTACTCACTGTTGGTCCATCAAATGCTAATCTGCCTGCCACTGGAAAGGGGCTTTGCAGATGTAATTAAGATCCCCAAGCAAACTTCTAGTAGGAATGATAACCTCAGCTGAGATCTTACAAAGCACTGGGGTTTTCTGGCCAAAAGGGCTTAAGCTGGGCGAGGATCGCAGGCAAGGGAGTCTCCATGGCTGGCTTCCAGCTGGAGGGGTCGCTCGTGTGAGGCGTGCAGGCCGCCTCCAGCAGAGCGGCTCCAGCTGAGAGCCAGCAAGGAGACAGGGACCTTCCTAATAGCATGGTAATACAATAGCAAATAATACAATCAATAATATGATAGCAAGGATCTGAATCCTGCCATAACCACGTTGGTTTGGAAGAGGACCTTGGGCTCCAAATAAGAACCCAGCCCGGCTGACACCCTAATTTTAGCCTCGTGGGATTCTGAGCAGAGAACACGCCTTTGTGGCATACAAAACTGTGAGTTAATGGCCAAGTTTGTGGGAATCTGCTATGTGTCTTTAGGAGGCTGACGCTTTCAAACACTGTAGTAATTACTGACGCAGGAAGAATCATTAGCAGATGTAAGATAGCACCACCAGGTTTTAGGCCGTGGTTCCCTTAGCTGGTGGTTTTAGGTGAGTGGAGGGTGTAAGGAGCCAGCTTTTGGGGAGCTGAAAATGGGTAAGAGGTGACAAACTGAAGTCCACAAATGTAGACACCAACGTGAGTTGTCAAAGACACGATCAAGGACCTAGAAATAGTAACAAGAACAATGGCAACACACATAATGCAGAAATCAAGACTTTTTTTTTTTTTTTGACAGGCAGAGTGGACAGTGAGAGAGAGAGACAGAGAGAAAGGTCTTCCTTTTGCCATTGGTTCACCCTCCAATGGCCGCTGCAGCCGGTGCACCGCGCTGATCCGATGGCAGGAGCCAGGTGCTTCTCCTGGTCTCCCATGGGGTGCAGGGCCCAAGCACTTGGGCCATCATCCACTGCATTCCCTGGCCACAGCAGAGAGCTGGCCTGGAAGAGGGGCAACCGGGACAGAATCCGGCGCCCCGACCGGGACTAGAACCCGGTGTGCCGGCGCCGCAAGGCGGAGGATTAGCCTACTGAGCTGCGGCACCGGCCTAGAAATCAAGACATTCTTAATGCAATGCACTGGTTCAGAACCTTTCAAGGGGTCAAGTAAATATCCCGAACACAAGTCTGGGGCCCTGGGGTGGTGGAGACCAGAACTCAAGGCTGGTGGGATGAACGGTGCATCTGTGCTACTGGCAGGTCACCTGGCTAGTGGGGACCTTGGAGTGGGAGTGTGGGACACGATGATCTGACTGCACGGCCCTTGTCTGGTGACTTTGGGGTGGTTACTTGTCTGACTTTGTGTCCCTGGGCTATTTTTTTTAGGTTTATTTATTTATTTGAAGGCAGAGTTACAGCGGGGGAGGCTGAGGTATGGGGGGGGGTCTTCCATCCGCTGGCTCACTCCCCAGATGGATGCAATGGCTGGAGCTGTGCCAGTCTGAAGCCAGGAGTGAAGAGCTTCCTCCCGGTCTCTCAGCAGGTGCAGGGGCCCAAGGACTTGGGCCATACTCTACTGCCTACCCAGGCCATAGCAGAGAGCTGGATCGGAAGTGGAGCAGCCAGGACTAGAACCGGCACCCATATGGGATGCTGGCGCTTCAGGCCAGGGCGTTAACCCATTGTGCCATAGCGCTGGCCCCTGTAGCTTTTTTTAAAAGATCTTATTTATTTATTTTTGAGAGGTAGAGTCACAGACCCAGAAAGGGAGGGGCAGAGAGAAAGTTCTTCCATCCTCTGTTCACTCCCCAAGACGCAATGACCAGAGCTGAGCCAGTCCAAAGCCAGGAGCCAGGAGCTTCTTCCAAGACTCCCACAGAGGTGCAGGGGGCACGTGGGCCATCTTCTACTGCTTTCCCAGGCCATAAGCAGGGAGCTGGATGGGAAGAGGAATAGCTGGGACACGAACTGGCACCCATATAGGATGCCAATGCTGTAGGCAGAGGCTTATACCCTACTATGCCACAGCACTGGCCCCTATATCTATATACAAGCTTTTTTTTTTTTCTTTTATTTGAAAGGCAGAGTTACAGAGAGCAGAGGCAGGTGGGGTGGGGTGGGGTGGAGAGAGAGATCATCTTCCATCCACTGGTTCATTCCCCAGATGGCTGCAATGGTCGGAGCTGTGCAGATCCAAAGCCAGGAGCCAGGGGCTTCTTTCAGGTCTCCCACATAGGTGCAGGGGCCCAAGGACTTGGGCCATCCTCCACTGCTCCCCAGGCCACAGCAGAGAGCTGGATCAGAAGTGGGGTGGCCAGGACTCGAACTGGCACCCATATGGGATGCCGGCACTATAGGCAGCGGCTTTACCTGCTACACTACAGTGCTTTTTGAAATCGTTGTTAGAATTTGAACTTTGTTTTGGCTCTTCTAGGTCTTTGCATTTCCATATGAAGTGTTAGAATTAACTAGCCAATGACTAGCAAAACAGACTGCTGAGATTTGGATTTGAATTGCATTGAATCTATAGATTGATTTGGGGGTCAATGGCTGCTATGGGTACAGCAGGACTTGGCTCTCAGAACTCATGCAGATATTTAAATTCTGCTGTGGATGGATTAAGGGTAGAGACTTGATCAAATTGTGGCGGCTGGAGAGTGGGGCAGGTGGTAGATCTTCAGGTTTTTGCGGCATGCCCTTGAAGAATGGTTCTTGTGAGAAGGGGCGATTATTTTTTTAGCTCAAGTGCTCAAGTTTAGCCTGAGCTTCTCTCTCTCTCTCTCTCTCCCTCCCCCCCTCTCTCCCTCTCTCTCCCTCTCTCTCCCCCTCCCTTTCCCTCTCCCCCTCCTGGGTGATTACTGACGTCATAAATAAGAGTGTCAACTGTTAAATCAACAACGGGAGTCACTGTGCACCTGCTCCCCCTGTAGGACCTCTGTCTTTAATGTGTTGTATTATGCAAATTAATGGTAAAACTACCACTCAAATAGTACTCTATACTTTCTATGTCTGTGTGAGTGCAGCCTGTTGAAATCTTTACTTAGTATATACTAAGCTGATCTTCTGTATATAAAGATAATTGAAAAAGAATCTTAATGAAGAATGGGATGGGAGAGGGAGTGGGAGATGGGATGTTGTGGGTGGGAGGGAGGTTATGGGGGGAAAAGACGCTATAAGTATAAAGTTTTACTTTGGAAATTTATATTTATTAAATAAAAGTTGAAAAAAAGAGAATTATTTATTGGGGCTGGTGCTGTGGCACAGCGGGTTAAAGCCCTGGTCTGAAGTGCTGGCATCCCATATGGGTGCCAGTTCTAGTCCCAGCTACTCCACTTATGATCCAGCTCTCTACTATGGTCTGGGAAAGCAGTAGAAGATGGCCCAAGTCCTTGGGCCTCTGTACCCACATGGGAGACCTGGAAGAAGCTCCTGGTTCCTGACTTCAGATCGGCTCAGCTCCAGCCATTGTGGCCATTTGGGGAATAAACCAGTGGATGGAAGACCTCTCTTTCTCTCTCTCTACCTCTCTCTATAATTCTTTCAAATAAATAAATAAACAAATAAATACATCTTTTAAAACTTGTATTTATTTGAAAGAGTTACACAGAGAGAGAAGGAATGGCAGAGAGAGAGAGAGAGAGGTCTTCCATTCACTGGTGTTTGGAGCTGTGCTGATCTGAAGCCAGGATCCAGAAGCTTCTTCTGGGTCTCCCACACTGGTGTACAAACCCAAGGACTTGGGCCATCTTCTACTGCTTTCCCAGGCCACAGCAGAGAGATGGATCGGAAGTGGAGCAGCTGGGACTTGAACTGGCGCCCATATGGGATGCCAGCTCTGCAGGTAGTAGCTTTACCAGCTAGGCCACAGCGCCGGCCCCTACAATCCCTTTTATATGTTGTTGTATTAGGTTTGCTAATGCTTTACTAAGGATTTTTACATCTATCTTCATGAAAGCAATTGGTCTCTAGTTTTCTCGAGATGCAGTGGTCTGTCACTGGCCTCATTTGGTGAATGTCCTCTCCTCTTTTATTTTTTGGAAAAGTTTGGAAAAAAAATCAATATTATTTATTTTTTAATGTTTGGTGGAATTCACCAGTAAAGTCATCTGGGCCTTAATCTTTTTTTAAAAAAATTTTTGTAGGAAATTTCTATTTATTGTATGAGTGTATTTCATAGTTTGTGGAAACTGGAGTTAAAAGAGAAATTTATTTTGGGGCAAAAAACTTTTGAAATGCATGCACTGTTTTTTCATAATACGCGGTTTCCATAAGCTTTTCAAAGACCCATTGTGTGCGTGGATTTCAGTTTTTTGTGTGTGCCAATTTTTTTCAATTCCAGTTTCCACTGGCTTTTTGCAGTGCTCTTATATTCGCAGAGAAGAAGGCATAATTCTGCATAATTTAGCAGCCAGGGCTGAATCAGCTGCCGGACCCACCGGAGGACTGCCCGATTCTTTCTGCTGGGACTCCCAGGCTCGCTCTGGAGACAG